TCCTGAGACTTAGCCACTTCAATTCCCAAGAAGTATTTAAGTCCTCCAAGATCTTTCATCTCAAACTTAGAAGACAAATGCCCTTGCAGACGTTCGATTTCCATTGTATCATCACCTGTGACAATCATATCATCTACATATATGATAACCAGAGTTACCTTGCCATCCTTGTGTTTGATGAAGAATGTATGGTCTACGCTTCTCTGTCGATACCCATACTTCTTCATCGTTTGGGTAAACCGCCCAAACCACGCTATCGGTGACTGTTTAGGGCCATACAATGTCTTCCGAAGTCTACACACTTTCCCACTGGAGTTCGCAGCTCCATAACTTGGTGGAATATCCATGTACAACTCTTTCTCTAAATCACTATGTAGAAAAGCATTTTTAACATCAAACTATCTCAGAGGCCAATCATGGTTCGCAGCAAGAGATAATAAAACTCTAATGGTATTCATATTTGCAACAGGAGCAAAAGTCTCCTGATAATCAACCCAAAGGTTTAGGTAAGACCTTTGGCCACTAGCCTTGCCTTGTGTCTATCAATTGTTCCATCTACCTTATGTTTAATAGTGAACACCCACTTGCACCCCACTGATTTCTTTCCTTTGGGAAGTGGGACCACACTCCATGTATTATTCTTTTGTAGTGCTTCCATTTCAACTTGCATTGCTTCTGTCCATTTCAAATCTTTCAAAGCTTCCTCCACTCTGGTGGGTATTTTGATGGTTTCCATTTGCTGAACAAATGCACAGTATTTCGATGAAAGTTGATTAATAGAGACATAGTTTGAAATGGAATATCGCACATTTCCTTCTGGAGAGTACCTGTCTGGTGGTTTACCTTGATTTTGTCGATGAGACAACATATAAAGTGGTTAAATAATTTTCGAGAGAGTACTTACCTTAGGAATATCTGTTGGAGTATGAGGGAGTTTGTTATTGTCTTTTAACTCAATGGAACTATTACTCAAATTTGGGGCAGTTATCACCCTTGAAGGCCCACTTGGACCAACACCATAATTTCTATTTGGCCCACTTGGGTTGGTAGTTACAGATGGGTAGACAACAGCAACAACGTCATAATTTGGGTTGCAGATAGCATCGTCAGCATGCGACCCGTCATTATTCTTATTGGTTACAACATGCGGCTTACTTGGGTAAGCATCACACGGTCCTGACCCATTCCTTCTGCCATGGTCAACACGCCGATCAGGGCAGTCACAATTAGCTTTATCTGGGCCAGTTTGGTTAGTAACATCTGGGCCGATTTGGTCTAAAAGCCCATTTGAGCTATTTACAGAAATAGTAGGCATAATATTGAACCAACCATAATCTTCACCTGAGGTTGTCTCTTTTTGAGGAGTATGGCTAGGAGGAAAAAATAATTCTTCTTCAGAGAAGGTAACATCCATGGTGACGTACATGTGTTAAGTGGATGGATGATATCATCTATAGCCTTTTTGTTGAGGATTAAAGCCAAAGAACACACATTGCACTACACATAGATCAAGCTTGCTTCTTTGATTTTTGTGAAGATGAACATATGCCACACAACCAAAAACCTGGAATTCGAGATAAATAGTGGAAGGGAGCAAAACATGATCAGCAAGCACGGCTAAAGGGGTTCTAAAAGAGAGAACACGATATGACATTCGGTTCATGATATAAATAGCATAAGTGATTGCTTTAGCCCAATATGTCTTGGGTGCACAACTACCAATAAGAAGGGCACGAGTAATCTCAAGGATCTGTCGATTTTTTCGTTCGACAACTTTATTTGGTTGTGGGGTCTGATGACACGTAGTTCATGAAAAATGCTCTTTTTCATAAAAAAACTGAGAAAGATCCTGATTAAGATACTCACCACCATTGTCTATTCGAAGCACTTTAACAGAGAATGAATATTGAGTATAGACCATGTGATAAAATGCTTTGAAGATGTCACCCACATCACTTTTATTTTTCATAAGGTACAACCAAGTCATCCTAATGCAATCATCAACAAATGTTATAAACCAACGCACACCATGCTGAGTAGTAACCGCAGATGGCCCCCACACATCAGAATGAATTAACTCAAACGTAATTGTTCTTTTATGCAAACTTGGAGAATAAGAAGCTCGATAACTTTTAGTTAATGTGCAAACATCACATTTTAACAAATGTTATAAACCAACGCATACCATGCTGAGTAGTAGAAGCTCGATAACTTTTAGTTAATGTGCAAACATCACATTTTAACGAGGACTCTGGAATATTATTAAATAATGGTGGAAGTAATTTTTGCAAATAACCAAAGGAGGCATGAACTAGCCGACGATGCCACAACTGAATAAACTTTAATTTTCCATTGTCAAGACCTTGAACTTGATGAACACGGCCTTGTGCAACATCATCAACATAATACAACCCTATCCTCTTAGTACCACGCCGAATGATTTCCTGAGTTTGAATATCCTGAAGTAAACAGAAAGACGGAAACATTTGCACAACACTGTTTAATTGCTCGGTGACCTGTCCCACTGATAACAAATAGCTTGAGAGTGTGGGAACAAGAAAGCAGTTATATAATGAGAGAGTATGAGTGAGTGCTATCAAGCTTGTCCCTGTAACTGGGGCAACATCTCCATTAGCAATGACAATACTATCCCAGGGTGATGGTGTTGTAGAGTTAAATAAAGTACGATCATAAGTCACATGATCAATGGTTCCGAAATCAATGGTCCAACCTGTATCGAGATTAACAGATACTATTAAGGTTGTTCCTATGTTACCTGGATCGTCAGATTGCTATTGGGAAGAAATCAAATTTAAAAGAGATAGTTATGGGCCAATATTGACTGGGTTCGGGTTTATTTTCTGATGGTCTTTCGCTGGTGGGCTCAGCAAGCTAACGGCCATTTTGCTCTTGAAGTCAGCGCCATTTCTTGGCTGCCTAATTGGATTTTGGGCCCTATGGTCGCCCAACCCAACATGTACTCGTTGGACAGATTGTTGGCACTGGTTACTTTTCACCAGAGCCAGCCCATATTTGGTTGACACAGGAGAAGCACCGATGGAAATGGCAACTTGATGGTTAGCCATTGGCACAACAAGGTTTATAGTTTGGTTATAAGTTGTTGTTTTTTTCTTTCTGTCATGAGTCTCTTGTTTCGAGACCACAGTTATTTGATCGATGTTTTTTCTAGGTTGGGATTGCGTGAAAGGTTTCTTGCTTTGAAACCTTTAAAATTGAATTTTGGTTGTAGGTTGCTGACAACAGCCAACAATGGAAGTCAATAGTGGGTGAACTTAGGATTTAGAGGAAGAGATAGAATGAAACCCGCTATGATGCCAAGATGAAACTAATTTTAGGGTTTCAATATATTTCTTTTTATATTCTTCTCTCATAGAAGGCAACATACACACACACACACACACACACACACACACACACATACATACTCAATCCTTGTACTACAAGGAATATTAAAGACATAAAAGGTGAGTTATACCCAAACTCGGAAACACAATTATATTCCTATTGTATTATTGTTTTCTCACGCCAACATTATATGGTCTTGGGCTACTTCCTATATTGTTAATTGGTTTTATGGTGGAACCTCAATTTCATCATGGTATCAGAGCATGTTGTCCCTCATGTAAAAGCCTAAGGGCCACACGTGCTCATGCATCACCCAGTTGTTGTCCACGTGTAGGCTTGAAAATCGGCCACACGTGTGGGAGCGTGTTGAGATTTGATGATGTTAGGAAAAGTTTATCCCACATCGGTGAGGGGCATGCTTTGCTATGAGCTTATATGGTCTTGGGCTACTCCCCATATTGCCATTTGGTTTTATGGTGGAACCTCAATTTCATCATGTTGGTTTAGTTTGGAAAGCAAGATAAGGGATGAATAAAATTTGAAATTAACCTAAATGTGAGGAACCCATTTTCCATTATTCCAATTTCAATCCATCAAGATTGCCCCTGTTTTGACATTTTGGCTCATCAACGAAGGGACCAAGACTCGTTGGCACTCTCCTTCCACTTCTCTATATGTGATGTGCAAACCACATTGGCTGTCCTACTATGTCATAATATAGGCCAAAAAAATTGGTGCTTAATTGAATACTATTTGCATGAGTTGTTAACGGTAGTAGGTGACACTTAGTACTATGGTCTAGTGGTATTCTTTTTATTTTTATTTTGTAGAGACAGATTAGGCGAGATTAGCTCTTCGCCTATTGCACCTAGAAACCCCTCGCCCGTCCCCTTTCTACTAGATTTTATTAATAATATGAAATACAAGTAGGTGGACTAGGCCAATACCTACTAAAAACAATTTTTTGAAGCCAAACCCTAACAAGAAGTAGAAAACTACTTGAAATAAGAAAATCTAGTTACAAATAAAAGGTAAAACCCATCATAACAAAATCGAAAATTGAGGCGAAGAGAAAGATTATGATGATATGTGGCAATAGCACAAGGAGGACAATAGTCCTGCCAATAAACTCCTTGATGGTCCACTCCAAAATTTGCCAAAAAATCAGCCACCTGATTCCCTTCTTGAAAAATATGTGTAACTCGTATGCACATAGAAGAAAGCAACGTTCGACAATTCAATCAACATTCCCTTAAACACCAGGGAACACTGTTATGAGAAGCATAAATGAAAAGAACAACTCAAGATGAATCACACTTAATTCAAAGGGAACGCCAACCCCTCTCCCAAGCTAAGTTTACCGCATGAATTACAACATGCAAGGTGGTTTCCATAAAACTTCAGTAACACGAGACGACTTGGTAAGACGATCAGACAAATCAATTGCGCAAAGAATACAAAGTTCTTCCACATAGTTTTTCATGTTTCCCTTGCTAAGCGAATCAATTTCAAGGAGCTGCCAATTAATTGAGCGAACAATAGCAGTAATGGATGGTCAAATATCGTCAAAACGAAGCTTTATAAATGACATGAGTGAAAAATTAGTTATATGGGGAATCATGTAGTTAGCTCACTGATATAAACAGATTATTAATTTATCATCAATTTATGGCAGATAACCATCCCAGGGGGCAAATGCCCTACCAACACATTATGGCACACGAAAGCGAAGTTTACGAGTACAAGAAGTGGAAAGGCAAAGTTACACGCAGCTATAGTTTCACAAAGAGCTTTTAATTTGGCTGGGGAGAAGTCTTAAGCAAATATGTCATTCGCTGGCTTGATCTCCACTTTGTCTTTCTCCAAGTCCTGCAGTTGCTGTTCCTTGGCCAGCTTTTTCAGCCTGGCAACCTCAAGATCCTTGCTCATCTTCTTCTTGTACATCTCGGTGTAGGTGATTGGCGCCTCGAGAATCGGCTTCTCTCCCTCCCTCACACTGAGTGGATACACTATTGCATCTTGAGCTGGGTTCTGGAATGTGGCTATGGACAGCCTGCTGCTGTTTGAGTTCACCACTGCTTGGTGATCAGCATTCTTGAACCTCCCATTGCTCAGAAACTGCCCAAACAATATGCACAATAATTCAATCAGTTCAATTGACTCATGCCCATGATTTTATTTTTCGTTTTATGCTAAACCGGTAAACCTTAGTGTTGCGTTCATGCCGTGTAAGTAAATCCTGACTCTTGATGCATCAGGAATCTCACTCTCAACAACGGTCACACAAATAAATGTAAGCAACTGACCATAACATCACAAACTCTATGCAGCCATTTTCCTATTCTCCAATGTCAATTGCCAACAGCACACGCAATTGTATTAAATATGCGGTGTTTTTATAAAATATGCATTGTTATGTAGTACAGCTCATCACATAAAAACAATGGCGTTTAATTACCCACCATCATCATCACAAGCATATCGATTTTTATTGAATTTTTTATGACACATGAAGCCCTCTATCATGTGATAAAAATGTAATCATAATTTACTTCCATTTCTGTACGACTTTTAAACCATTACCATGCTAAGAAATAAGAAAAACTAATAAAAAATGTTTGAAAACTTTGAGTTTTAACGATAAGGACAAAATAAAGGGTAAAATGAATAGTATCAGGATTGACTTTTTAGTGTAAAAATATGATTTTTCGTTAAGTGAATAGTACTAGGAGATTTTCGTTAAAGTTCGTTAAGAAATATTTGCAAATTTTATTTTATTTATGCACTTTGTAATGTTCTAATAAAACTGCTATTGTTTGAGTTAAAAATGTTTGTAAACTGCAAGTTTAATTATAAGATTGTTTCAACTTCGTCGGTGGCTAATCTAGGTGGCTAATCTAGCATTTAATTTAACAAAATCTATCGTTTGCCAAAAAAATGATAAGATTGTTTAGTATTTACTCACATGACCATGATCTCCGAGATTGACCACAAAAGCTCCTTCCACTGGTTGAACGGTGATCCATGTCTTCCCATCATCCCTAGTAGCCTGAAGGCCACCAACTTGGTCTTGAAGCAAAAGGGTAATTGTGCCCGGATCCGTGTGGCGCTTGAGGCCAAGAGTTAGGTCGGGCTGAGGGCACTTCGGATAGAAATTCACCACCACTTTTTGGTCCATGTCCACGCATGCCTTTGTCAATGCCTCTGTATCCAACCCCATGGCTTCTGATAAAACCCCCAAGAGCTTGCATGCCAGCCCCATCAGCTCATCGCTGTACTTCTTCGTCACCTCCCTCCATGCCTCCGGCTTGTCTGGCCACCTCGAGTAGTCCCGGTGGCGAATCGGGTATGAAAAGTAGGTCACAATTTCACGCCAATCTTGCACAGCTTCTCCCTAAATTTACAATCCAAGTATGTCATGTGTTAGGACATAAGTCAGTAGTACTTCAATTTCTAGTATTACTAAACTAATAACGAGTTAATGCGTTCTAACAATTTATTTTTAAAAATAACAATAAGCTAACAAATTTTATTTTGGTGTACAAAGATCCTGATATTTCGAATTCCTATATACAGCGTTGTGATCACCTGTAAATGACTGGACACGATGAATCCACCCTTTTTGCCACCGGACATGTCGAAGCGGAGCTTCTCCTCCGATGGCAAAGCAAAGAACTCTCTAGCGAGACCGGTCATTTCCGATACGAGCTCGGCATCAACTCCATGATCAACAATCTGGAAAATACCCCAGTCCTCACAAGCTTCCACAATCTTCTTGCAAATCTCGGCCCGGCGGCCTTCAACCTCATCGATCCCGGCAAGCGAGATGATCGGAATTTCGTTGCTGAATTCGTTGTAGGCAACCTTTGGACGCTCGTCTTCGTCTCGGACAAATTTTTGTTGTAGGGTTTTCTCATGCGCAATGGATGTGAGCGTAGCAGCAGGAGGAGCCATATTTTGGTGTTGAATTTGTTTGGCTCTGTTTATTTGGTATTGGCTCAAATGAAATATATATGTTTTGTGTGTATCTTGGTGAGGGTAGGGTGAGATGTATATATAGAGATTTAAAGGGTAAATATGTATATTTAGGATTGAGGATATATAGAGATTTAAACGGTGAATATGTATATTTAGGATTGGGGACGCTACAACTACCTCATGGCTCGTGGAGTAATCTCTTACCAGTCATAAGACTCTCACCGCTACCAAACCACTTTGTACTTTGCTTCTAGAATCTCTCTGGTTTTTATTAAGGGGCGTTTTGATATATGCGCCTCGTTTTTAAAATTTTTAGTCTAAACATACACTCCTTTTGAAAATTTGATCAAACATTTTTCTAAAATTTTGGTTATTAATTTCAGTTTTTCACATAAGTTCAATTTTATTTAGAATTTTAGTTTTTCACGACTTTTTTTGGACATTTCATTTTTTTTCTTTTCCTCTTATCCCTATATTTATGCATTTTTTTTTATTGTTTGTTATAATTTTACTTTTTTTTTTTTTGTGAAAATAGTAGAATATTTATAAAAAAAATTGTCAGATTATTATTTAGAAGATCCAACACATAATAAAGATTTGTTTGATTATATAGCTACGTTTATTTACCTATAATATGGACACATTTAGTTTTATAGTGGATTAGATTTTTTGTATTTCTCGGTACATTTGGAATGTAAATGTACCAAAAGGGTTATCTGATAAAGACATTTGGTTTTGTTGTACATTTGTGATTTTTTGTTCATTTGGTCTTTTGGTACATTTGAAATCTAAACGTACCAAAAGGATTACCTCACAATGGGTACATTTGGTTTTATGGTACATTTGAAATTTTGGTACATTCGGTTTCTCTGTACATTTGAAATTTAAATGTACCAAAAGGTTACATAACAATGGGTACACTTGGTTTTATGGTACATTTGAATTTTTGGTACATTTGGTTTCTCGGTACATTTGAAATCTAAACGTACCAAAAGTCGATACTTTTGTTCTCAAATATACCATAAGTTTTAAATATATTTTTTTATATATCTATACATGAAAAAAATATGTATTGAAGATTTTTTATTGAGACATTTTTAATAAAAAGAGATTTTTTTTTTTTTTAAATACTGATAATAAGGTAATGATGAATTAGTTAATTAATGTAACATCCCACATTGTCCATAGGAGTGGATCTTGTATGCCATATATGTATATTCCCATCTCTACCTAGCACGAGGCCTTTTGGGAGCTCAATGGCTTCGGAGTTCATCGGAACTCCGAAGTTAAGCGAGTTCGCGCGAGGTGACCCATTAGGAAGTTCTCGTGTGAGTTCCCAGAAACAAAACCGTGAGGGTGTGGTCGGGACCTAAAGTAGATAATATCGTGCTACAGTGGAGTCGAGCCCGAGATGTGGTGAGGGCCTGAGCCGGGATGTGACAATTTGGCATCAGAGCTAATCACCGGCCGGAAGTGTGCCGATGAGGATGTTGGGCCCCTAAGGTGGTGGATTGTAACATCTCACATCGCCCAGAGGAGTGGATCTTATAAGCCTTATTTGTATATTCTTATCTCTACCTAGCACGAGGTTTTTTGGGAGCTCACTGGCTACGAAATTCATCGAAACTCTGAAGTTAAGCGAGTTCACGCAAGAGCAATCCCACGATGGGTGATCTACTAGGAAGTTCTTGTGTGAGTTCCTAGAAACAAAACTGTGAGGGCGTGGTCGGGGCCCAAAGCGGGCAATATCGTGCTACGATGGAGTCGAGGCCAGAATGTGGTGGGGGCCTGGGGCGGGATGTGACAATTAATTTTTTATTTTATTTTATTAAAAAATGTCATTTAATGCGTAGAAGGGGATTGATGAAATTAAATTCCTATATTATATGCAATTAGTTGCTAAGCTACCTTAGGCCTCTATATAAATGCATTTAAATTAATGACATGGAAATTAAATAAATAGAAAATTATTGAGGTGGCAATTGATCAAAGCGCCTTAATCAAATCTTTAAAAGGGATGAATGTTTAATCTAACAACTATAGAAAAGATGTAAGGCATTCTAATTTTCCCTATTTTTTTTTTTTATTAATTGGGTGGTTTCAAGAAGATTAATTTGTACGTACAAGTGTGGTCCATTTTATATGTAAGAAGAACAATATTATTAAAGAGTAATCAAATATAGGTGTAATGTTCTTTTCTCTTCTGTATAGTTGTTATACTTGACTATATAATTATTAGTATTACTGAGGGTAAATATGTAAGTGTGAGTTCTGTTAACTCAATAAATAGTGTAAAACTGATTACTATTCAATGAGAAATACAAGGATTATAGTTAAAAGTTTTCTTCCTCTTTAAGCTTTCTCTGTAAGTCTCAATATGGTATCACTTGCCATTTGCATCCCGACGATTTCAATCCGTCCAATTTCCGCTCGTGTTCTTCCATTCTCGAAGACAATTCCTCTTTTTTTCTTTGATTTGTGATCTTGCGAAGCTGTATTGTGTGTATCTATGGCTTCTTCGTTGGAATCCTTTCACGAGTCGATGCCAAATCAGGCCCTAATTTCATCTTCATCAAACCTTAACTTCTTAAATTGATATATTTTTCTTATGATTCAGAATATTGGAAGCATGGTTCCGATCAAGCTGAAATGCTCCAATTATCTTCCATGGTGTGCGTTGTTTGCTCTAATTCTTCGCCGTTACAAACTCATTAGTGTCATTGATGACACAAAATCGTGTCCTTCTCCTCTGCTTCCAGATTGTTCAATCAATTCGGCCTTTGAACTTTGATATGAAAAAGATCAAAATCTCCTTATTTGGTTAAATTCTACGCTTTCTAAAGAAGTTATTCCGTTTACTGTTAGGGTTTCGTCATCTCGAGATGTGCAGATCAAATTAGAGCAACGATTTGGTGTTCATGCACACATTCACCAATTGTGATCTCGCCTTCAATCTCTTCAGAAATGATCTCTGTCAATCTCTAAATATTTGCAGCAAATCAAAGAAATCTCTAATTCATTGACTGATGTTGAAGCTCCTATTACCGATCGTGACTTGATCGCTGCTACACTTGTTGGATTGCCAGATGAATTTGAGTCATTTATCGATTCTACCATGTTTCATCTTCTTTCCACAACACTTTATGAATTGCACGAGTTACTTCTCACTAAAGAATTGTCCATGTCTTGAAGAAAGAAACTTGATTCCTCTAATTTCACAGAACCATTTCAAGCCTTTTCAGTTCACGCTCAGGCTTCTTAAGTTCCTATTCTTCCTACACCACGTCTTTGCTGCTCAGTATCCTCAATCACATAATTTTGTGAAGCACAATCGTGGTAATCAAGTCAATCACTACAACAATTAAGGCCATAACTACAATAATTATGGCAATCATGGTTCCAATTACAATTCTAGAGGTAACAATTCCAATCATCGTGGCAATCATCATGGCTCTCGCAATTTCAATACATTTGGTTGTCGTATATAATGTCAAATTTGTGGTTCTACTAGTCATGAGGCTATCAACTGTTATGATCGTATGAATCCTGAGATTGTTGGTAAAGTACCTTCTGCAAAGTTGGCTACGATGTGTACTCATCATTCAATGAAGCCTAATACTCCATCCTGGCTAATTGATTCTGGTGCTACTTCTCACATTACAAATGACATCTCTAACATTCAATCTCCCAGCCCTTATCATAGAGAAGACAAAGTATACATTGGTGATGGTGAAGGTCTGTCCGTTGATCATATTGGTTCTTCTTTGTTACATACTCCATACTCTACATTTTAATTGCATAATGTGTTAAATGTGCCTTAAATGCAACACAATTTTCTTTCTGCTTATCGATTTATTAAAGATAATAAATGTTCAGTGACTCTTGATATTGATGGATCCTATGTCAATGATCATACTATAGGGAAAATGCTTTTTCCAGGGACCAGTTAACGATGGTTTCTTCCCTCTTCAAAGTTTCTCTACACCTTGTCACTCTTTAGTATCTTCCCCTACTTTATTAATCAGCAATAAAGCCTCTATAAAAGTGCGGCATAGCAGACTTGGCCACCCTTCTTCTTACATTTTCAGAAGGGTACTCTTTACTACTCAACTTGCACTTCAAGGAAAATCTACAATGGATTTCTTTTACAAGGACTATGCTTTAGCCAAGAATCATAAACTTCCTTTTAGTAGTACTAGTTCATTTTCATCCAAGTGTTTAGATTTGTTGCATTGTGACTTGTAACCGTCGTTTGTGTTGGCTGTGAGTGGTTATAAATACTATCTGCTCATTGTTGATGATTTCAGTAGGTATTGTTGGTTTTTTCCCTTGAAATCCAAGGAAAATGTGTACTCCACTTCGTATACTTTCAATGCTATGTAGAAAATGTTCTTGGAAATACAATCAAAATTGTTAGATCTGACTCAATGAGTGAATTCATTGGTAATCAGTTTCAATCTTATCTTAAGTCTCATGGTATTTTACAACAATTCAATTGTCCCCATACCCCTGAACAAAATGGTTATGTTAAGCGCAAACACAAACATTTAATTGAAACTGCAAGACTTTGTTAGTTCAATCTCAAGTACCTCATCAGTTTTGGGTTGAAGCATTCTCAACTGCTGCCTATTTGATTAACAAACTCTATATCTCTAGTATTCCCCAGTCTCCTTGGGAACTTTTGTTTCACATTCCTCCAGATTATTCACGGTTGAAAATATTTGGATATAGTTGCTTCCTATGGCTCAAACCTTACATCTTTTCCAAATTGGATAGTAAAAGTAAACATTGTGTTTTCTTAAGGTACATTGTTCAACATAAAGGGTACAGGTGCTTAGATCCATTCACTTAGGGCATTTATATTTCCAGGCATGTAATTTTCAATGAAATCAAAATTTCCATATCACAAGATTATAGCTAAAAAGGGTACATGCATCTACTACTTCATCAACTTTATCAACTTCATCAACTAAAAAGGGTACAGGCATCTACTACTTCATCAACAAGATTATATCAAAATTTCCATAAAGGGTACAGACATCTACTACTTCATCAACTTTAGTATTTTCACCTATTAGTCTTGA